ATTTTACAAATCTAATGCGCCATACTGTGCATCAAGATATGGTCATAATCTCAATTCAAATTTCCAATGGAGTTTGCAACCATAATTACCCATTTAAATTTACCATAGTGCTAACTTAATCTATTTTATAATAGAATTTAAAATATAGTGTCAAATCTTTCATATGGAATTTTTTGCAGATATTTTTACTGGTCTTCCTTTATAAATATACATTTCTTTAAACATAATTTAAAAGCAGTGTAAGGGAAGTAACCAAAACATTGTATTTGGATTACCTCCCTTACACTGTTTTAAATTATCTTAATTGTTCATTAATCATTACTTTATACATAATTTAAAAGCAGTGTAAGGGAGATAATTTCAATGATGTATTTGATTTATCTTCCTTACACTGCTTTAAATTATGTTTTGTACTAAAGTATTTGTCCATTAACCAGGACAACCTTGTTTTTCCCCCTTTTTTGCCCCTAATTCCTAAACGGTTTGAGCCATAACCCCCCCAAAGCAAATCCTAACCATCCCTTTGTGGTATGGAAACTTGTAGTATAATTTCAGAGAGATCCATACACCGTTCCACAGTTATTGTCTGGAAACTAGAAAATGCTTATTTTTAGCCCCTTTTTGGCCCCTAATTCCTTAACTGTTGGTACCATAACCCCCAAAATCAATCCCCACCTTCCTTTTGTGGTATTGAACCTTATGGTAAAATTTCAAAGAGATCCATTCACTTAAACTAAAGTTAGAGTGCGAAAACCAATGTGTCTTCGGACGACAACGCCGGAGACGATGACAACGTCGATGACGCCAACGTCATACCAATATACAACCGCAAAATTTTTTTGCGGTCGTATAAAAACGGAAAAATTGCCTTAAAATTACCAATTCAGGGGCAGCAATCCAACAACGGGTTGTCTGATTCATCTGAAAATTTCAGGGCATATAGATCTTGACCTGATGAACATTTTACCCCCCATGTCAGATTTGCTCTAAATGCTTTGGTTTCAGAGATATAAGCCAAAAACTGCATTTTACCCCTATGTTCTATTTTTAGCCATGTCGGCCATGTTGGTTGGCAGGCGGGGTCATCAGACACATTTTTTAAACTAGATACCCTAATGATGATTGTGGCCAAGTTTGGTTAAATTTGGCCTAGTAGTTTCAGAGGAGACGATTTTTGTAAAAGTTAACGGAAGACGACGACGGACGCCAAGTGATGAGAAAAGCTCACTTGGCCCTTTGGGCCAGGTGAGCTTAAAAGATATAAATTTGCAAATGATATGATAAATAAATGTTTTTCCCAGAGGATAGTAAATATTTAGCAGTAGTTCTGTTTTCTCACCCATACAATGTATATAAATTATCAAAAACAAATTAACCACATTATATTAATTGTTGATCATGTTGATTTATCAAATTTCATTCACTCACTTCTGTACCGGTAATAGTTTCCACTGACATTATTTGAGTTGGAGTCATTTCCCTTTTCCACCCTGTTGGAGGTCAAACTGATTTATTTTCTTATTTGACTAAGCCAAATTTAAACATGGGGTACAAGCAAGTCTGATTCTTGATGAAAAATAAAACAAACAAAGGAAAAATGTTCTTAAAGTTTTATCTAAAGTCTAGTGATTAGTAGAACTACCAATAGTTAAATTTGGTTGATTTCTGAAGGAATTTGTGATAGAAGCATACACTAAACTGAGATTTGGCAATTTCAAATAGGTGACTAGAAAAAAATTCCATAAAATATTTGAACTTCAAAGTCATTTTTCAAATGTTTTTAGGAGGAAAAAAATGCATGGGACATCAGTTTTCACAAATTTGGCAACATTTTTTGTTTTGGGATGAAAACTTTACATTGTGGTTTTTTGAGAAGTCAAAAACCAGATTTCGGAATTGTCTCAAAATTTTGTCTTATTTCAAAACTTTTTTAAAAGGCTATAAGCAATAGGAATTGTTATTCCAAAGAAATCAATGGAGGTGGTGCATTTTTTTTGTTAATGAGTATAGATTACACTTCCAATTTATTTTCCCGTTGTTTTTTTTTTTACATGTTTAAGTTACCTGTAACTACTCCACATAATAAAACATCAGAAATGTTTAATTCAGCTTACATTGGTAGAAAATCCAATATTCATTTTTACTCTCTCAGCTAAATAAACATATACCTGTTGCTTCTCTGGCAAGAGGAAATAAGTACATTCATAATACTTACGGAATATTAAACAGCAGTTCTTCATCAGCATCACTCTCAACAAACTAAAATAAACAAAAGATATAAGTTTAATTTTTCATATATCAAAATGAAACTATTAAAGTCTTTAGGAGTAATTGAAGCTGTTGTTAAACCTATTTACAAATGTAACAGTGTACTATATGTAATAACATGTAAAAGTTCTGCCTTTCTACAATGTTGTCTACTTTAAGCTTTGTTTTTTTTTTCATGCTGATTTTATCAAAATTTCTATGATCCAAGTTAATTTAGATAGAAATAGGATTTTAAAATTCCAATTAATTGTAAGATATACACATTATTTATTCCAAATTTGAACCACACTTTTGGCAAGGTGCATTGGACTCTTAATTGACAAGGATTACAAGTTTTCCTTGCAAAGGTCTGTAGTTCTCTCTAGGTACTCCAGCTTCCTTCACCAAAAAAAAAACTTGAAGCCATGATATAGCCAAGAGAGCTGAAAGTGGCATTTACAGTTTTACACCAACAATCGATCAATCATATGGATTATCATGTTATTATCATACTTTTCCAATGTCAGATATAAAACCCTATCAGGTATTTCGTTTCTTCCCCTAAATCATTAAAAAGGAGCAAATTTGTTTATCTGAGTACTGAAAAGTACTCCTAGTGCGATGTTGATGCCACTTATTAAATAAGGGACAAGATGAAGTTGCAATGTAAGATATTTTTTTTGCAACAGATGTGCAGTTTTTACTTTGTGTTCCATGCTATACGCCAGATTAACATTGCCACATGACTGTGAGAAGTCGAAATAATATAGGGATTACCTACTTGGAAGGACTGCTACGAATGATTCCGATAACAAAAAAGGCATGTTATGCATGTTATACACCTTTTTGTAGATAATTCAATGAAGATTTATGACATCAAAATTTCAGTGGGATAGAACAACCGCAGAATGGAATTATAACGGGAGTTCGAGACCGGGTGTTATTTCTCATAAATGCGAGTTAGGTACCTTGTGTTGTCATGAAATAGAAGTTCCTTCGTAATATAAGTTCCATGTGGAAAAAAATATTCTGTAATATTATTTCCACTGGAACAACTATTACAGTATTTGTTCCTTAAGGTTATAGAATATTTGTGCCAACAGGAGCAGATATTATGGCAAAATTTATAACAAATTTTCCAGTGGAACTTCTGTTAGGCTGAACAAATATACATTGCCACTTATCAGTCAGAGCTCAGACATAAACAAGTCGTTTTTTGTTTTTGACTTACAGAAGTCAAAAAATGTATTTATTATAAAAATGTGTTTTCATTTTCAGACTTATTTAAGTCAGAAAATAACAGACTTGTTTAGGTCTATTTATGTTTATGAAAAGACTTGATTTTAATTAGTAGCCAAAGTGCACCACCTATGACATCATAAACCTGTCTGAGAGTTCACAAGGACCTGAGCTATCTATATTTAATTATCTAATTGAACATTTTTACTTAACATAAGATTATTTTCCTCATTTTGTGTGGTTATAGATGGTTGCATTGTAAAGTAAATAAACATTATCTCCGTTTTTTTAGGCCCTCATGCATATTTTTCTTTAGAAGACAAAGCATTGTCTTTCAATGTTGTCATAATTTCATCCATGTAGATGCTTGACCTTTTTATAAATATGCTTGGGTCTTGAAGTTGACCAATTTTGGTAACTTATCGACTTATAGGGGTCAATACTTGCAACTTTTTAATTCAGGTCAAATATTTCTTGCTTAACACCAATTGACTTATTGAAGTCATAGTTTGTCTTAAATTAAAGGGAGACAAATCTTGAAACCTACAAATTTAGACTTCTACGAGTCAAACACAGATTTAGACTTATATATGTCTGAGCTCTGACATGCTTATATTAAGGTATATAGGAACATTTTTTTCAGAGACAAGTGCCTGTGTAACAATACACCAGTTCCGGGATACGGTAGTTAGTTCAATCTGTCATGTGACTTCCATCACCACTTGACCATAATATAGCATCATCACTTCCAACACCTGTTGAGCGAACGGGTGAAAAAGTTCGATGCTAAACTGCACAAAATATTCGAGAAATTAAGATCTATTTGGTTTGTCACCCTCCCTTCCGTTGTACGGGAATTGAGGTTACGTACTTACGGAACATAAATTATTTCTAGACTACCCTGCAGAACGACGATCCTGAAAATGCTTGAAACTTTAATAGTGCAGGGATACAGGCGTGCCTTCTACCTGGTAAATGACGTCATAAAGGAGTGGGTAATTGACGATCTTTTCCGGTGAAAGACATGATTTGAGAAATAGCCTAAGTCCTGTAAATTTGGATACTTGACTAGCGATAACAGTATGATGATGTTTGATGAAAACAAAAATGCACCAATTATCTTTCGGGAGCTGATCAAGCAGCACCTGCCTCATATCAAATTAATTATTTTTTAAATCTTGCATGTGTACCTTTTCTTTATCCATCCTTTTGTCCCATGGTTTAAATACATGCTTTCCAGAATCTTCGGTTGATTCATTTAAACATGTAACTCTTTCTGTATCTATCTTTAAGTAAAGGCTGTATGATGAAGCCAGATCTGATTCAGGGGCATGGTCATGATCATGTTCACAGCCCCCTTCACCATGACTGTGTCCGTGGCCTGGCATCTTTTTATTTCTTTTTGGTATTTAGATATTTCAAATATGGAATTAGTGTCGAGTACTTTAAATCACCGTCGTTACTGTATTTGAAACCTGTGTGAAATTATACCTTTAATAAACGTCGAAAAGACATAGAGTGAAACGGAAGCAATATGGTGGACAGCAACAACGTGGAATTGGGTTTTGTAGAAAGAACAGACTCTCATTTGCTATGTAGCTTTCATTTCCCAAGTAAAGTTGGAGGAAAACCAGCTTGGCTATCTCTTTCACCGATACCTTCAAACAAAGATCTTGAATGTTCAAAATGTGGAAAGATACTATCATTTTTGATGCAAGTGTACTGTCCGTTTGAAGAGAGTCCGAAAGCTTTTCACAGAGCGTTGTTTGTTTTTGTTTGTAGAAATGTCGTATGCTGTAGTAAGAATAACAATGAAAACTTTTGTGCATTAAGATCCCAATTGCCTCGCAACAATGACTTTTACAGTCCAGAGCCACCAAAGAAAGAGACCGATGGACCCTCTGCAAAATTTTATCAGGATTTGTGTGTAGTGTGCGGACTTAGAGGGTCGAAAAGATGTGCAAGATGCCAGAGTGCAACATACTGTAGTAAAGAACATCAAGAAGCAGACTGGAAAACAGGACATAAGGCAGTGTGCAAAAGTAATGTACCAACACCTGCCTCAGCCTCAGGTATGTCTACAGTAATTCTAATCCCTTTTTGGATTTTGTGTCCTGAGCGATTTTATGATTTGGTCTTCGTAAGAATAATGATTTGACAAAATAATTAAGATACCTCAAAAATCATTCGTTGAACTAATTACTACCAAATTTGGAAATAATGATTTATTTTTGTAATATCTTTTCAAAAATTATGTTTGAAATACTAACATGATGCATCTATTTTGACAGTTTTTTTCGCCTTGATTTATTGAAGAAACAGACAAAAATTTCCATTGTGTGTTTATTTTATAGATACATTGTACAATCTTATTTACTATTTACATCCGCAAATTAATTTTTGAAAGCATGTTGAATTGAAAATGTAGCTGAGGAACCTTACATGTAGCTCATAAGTCCTTATGATATTTTTTGACAATTTGCAGACCATAGACTAACTACACATCTGTCAGTCAGGGATAACATTTTTATACAAGTCATTTTTATTTAAGATGTGAGTAATATTTACTTGTATAAGCAAGTTTGCACGATTTTTATTTTATTTTCATGGTTAGAATTATCTTCCCTTAAATTAATTATCCAAAAATTAACTTATACATGTAATTTTTTTTACAACCCCAAAAAAATTCTCAAGTTTTGGGAGGTCAAAACATTCCTAAACAGAATTTTTCTGGTTTGCTAATTATTTTTTATATGCCCGTTTACGGGACGTATAAGGTATACCATTGTCCATCTGTCTGTCCGTTACAACATGTCTGTCCGTCCATCCGTCGTCAACATGTCGGACATTAACTCAAAAACGCTTTAACCAATTTGAATGAAACTTTGGTGAATTGTTTATATCTATTGACATGAGCTCCCTTTTGTTTATTATAAATTTTAGATTTTACATTTCCGAGTTTTGGGGTTTTATTCATTACAAAAAGGGGGATTTTCAGGTTTTTGGACAAAAACTCAAAAATACTTTCACCAATTTGCAAGATACTTTGGTGAATTGTATATATATATTGACATGAGCTCCCTTTCGATTTTTATAAATTTTAGATTTTATGTTTTCGAGTTATGGGGTTTTATTCATTACAAAAAGGGGGATTTTCCAGTTTTTGGACAATAACTCAAAAATGCTTTGAGGAGTTTTCCTGAAATTTTGGTGAATTGTTTATATCTATTGACGTAAGCTCCTTTTCAATTTTTATAAATTTCAGATTTTAAGTTTACTAGTAATGGGGTTTAATTAAAAAAAAAGGAAAAGGCACTGTTAAAGATAAAAATATCAAGATCCAGGAAAAGGCACTGTTCATTTTTAGTATTAGCGTTATTTAAAGTCAGTTCAGAAGGATAAATCTCTTTAGTGTACACACTGAAGTCGTCATTATTGAGAGCCAATATATCATCCAAATATCTAAAAGTGTTATGAAATTTTTGTATCAGATGTTGTTTGATGGGTCTTTACTGATTTTAGTCATTAATTGTAACTCATAACAACACAGAAACAGGTCCACAATAAGTGGTGCACAGTAAGTCCCCATTGGAATTCCGATAACTTGAAGATATACGGAATCTCCATAGCAAACAAAAATGTTATCTAGTAAAAATTCAAGTGCAGTTATCGTATCAAAGCAGGTCCAATTGATATAGTTCCTGCATTTGTTGTTATATAAAGTTGCATTACTATCAGTACATATCAGTTTGACATCTATTTCGAGGCCTTCCCCCCTTGGTCAAGGTCCAGTGACTTTCTATTAATAAGCAATTTTCAATATTAAGTTTTCTGCTTACATGTAAGTTAGTTTGATAGGAACTACTTGTGATAGATCAATGATGTTTTCTATTAAGTTGCATTACTATCATTACACATCAGTTTGAAGACTATTTCGAGACCCTGCCTCCTAGGTTAAGGTCCAGCGACTTTCAATTAATAAGCAATTTTCAATGTTAAGTTTTCTGCTTACATGTAAGTTAGTTTGATAGGAACTACTTGTGATAGATCAATGATTTTTTCTATTAGGTTGCATTACTACCAGTACATATCAGTTTGATAGCTCTTTTCAAGGCCCTGCCTCCTAGGTCAAGGTCCAGAGACTTTCAATTAATAAGCAATTTTCAATGTTAAGTTTTCTGCTTAAGTTAGTTTGATAGGAACTACTTGTGACAGATCAATGATATTTTGTATAAAGTTGCATTACTATCAGTACAAATCAGTTTGACATCTATTTCGAGGCCTTCCCCCCTCGGTCAAGGTCCAGTGACTTTTTATTAATAAGCAATTTTCAATGTTAAGTTTTCTGCTTACATGTAAGTTAGTTTGATAGGAACTACTTGTGATAGATCAATGATGTTTTCTATTAAGTTGCATTACTATCAGTACACATAGTTTGAAGGCTATTTCGAGGCCCTGCCCCCTAGGTTAAGGTCCAGCGACTTTCAATTAATAAGCAATTTTCAATGTTAAGTTTTCTGCTTACATGTAAGTTAGTTTGATAGGAACTACTTGTGATAGATCAATGATGTTTTCTATTAAGTTGCATTACTATCAGTACACATCAGTTTGAAGGCTATTTCGAGGCCATGCCCCCTAGGTTAAGGTCCAGCGACTTTCAATTATTAAGCAGTTTTCAATGTTAAGTTTTCTGCTTACATGTAAGTTAGTTTGATAGGAACTACTTGTGATAGATCAATGATGTTTTCTATTAAGTTGCATTACCGGGTACTACCAGCACACATCAGTTTGATAGCTATTTTCGAGGCCCTGCCCCCTAGGTCAAGGTCCAGAGACTTTCAATTAATAAGCAATTTTCAATGTTAAGTTTTCTGCTTAAGTTAGTTTGATAGGAACTACTTGTGACAGATCAATGATATTTTGTATAAAGTTGCATTACTATCAGTACAAATCAGTTTGATTACTATATCAAGGCCCTGCCCCCTAGTTCATGGTCCAGAAACTTTGAATTTTTGCGATGTTGCTGTCCATCAGATTTGCAGACATGTGAGACATATTTCTGTGACAACAGTTTATTAAAAGTAGACTTTTGTAGACTTTGCATGCAACGTTTCCTTAAATTTTACTTTTTAAACTGAAGACTTCATCTGTGGATATATGATGTGACTGGATATTTAGCTATGTTGAAGCACGTACATCATCATGTAAATGATAAATGATAAAAAAACGAATTGTTTAGTCACTAAGAAAACATATAAGATATCCGTCACTTTTTATGTAAAATGGGTGCAAATTGGGTACTCTGTGCAATTTGAGTACTCGGTGCAATTTGAGTACTCGGTGCAATTTGGGTACTGTTACAAAATGTTCATTATATTTAACTTGATGCAAGGCCTTTCAGCCATTTATTGAACTAATTAAGTTTAACTGCCAGTTCGGTCACAGTCGACTCAGCCATACTGCCAGTTCCTGTTTGGCCATGGTTTTTCAGCCGTTTGGTAACTTCGGTATAAAGGGAGGGAAAATTAATTGTTCTTTTCCTACAAACAGGAACCAATAATTATTAAATCATATATTAGTCCCAGCTACAAACAGACCAGAGGCGGATTTAGGGGAGCACAGGGTGCCCAGGCCCCCCCCCCCTTTTGTGGGAAAAATTTGGTTGATTATTTAGGGAATCACTGAAGCATGACTGGAGGGGGCCCCCTCTATGGCAGTCAGTGGGCCCCCTTATGAAAATATCTGGATCCGCCACTGCGGACGTTTACAAAAAATGGAAAATATATTTTAATCATAAAATTATATTCATTGTAAAGAATTTGTAAAAATTTATGTACTTTATAAGAATATTCATAAACAATGATAAAAGGGTGATTATATATATTAGTCATACTGTGTCTGTAGAAGTCTGTAAGTGTATGGTAGAGTCTGGTAGTCTAAAACTGGTTTATTTGTGTTAATAAAAATAACATATTGTTTTTGATGTGTTATTTTATCAATATGAATCTTTTTTTAATCAATTGTTAAAGGTAAAAGTGGTTTTATAATACATGTAACCATCGAACATCAGAGTTCCCGATCTATGGTAATAGTGACTTTACAGTTTGGTACAGTTTTGTTGCTTAAAACAAGTAATTCGTGTATAAATGTATATACAATTGCATATTTTTCATTCAATCAACATTATTGCCATGTCAAAACCACATTGAGTGACAGTGTAAAAATGCTTATTTTAGATTATGTTTTGTACAATGTATTTGTATATTCTTTTATTTATATTTGTATTTGATTTTTTGACTACATGTACATCTTGAACAGCCTTATATCTTATCATGTTAGTAATATTACATTGAACTAATTGACTGTAAATTAACTATGTGTAAATATCTGTTTTTTTATTGTATTGTAATTTGTATGTGAGGGCCTCAGGGAAGATTAGTTTATTGTAACTAACTGAGTTTACCCTCTTTAAATAAAGAATTTATTATTATTATTATTATTATTATTTATATTGTTTATAGCAAAAACAGTGAGTAGAATTAAAGTTTATCCTGACTGCAATTTTCCTGAATATGAACTTATAACTGAACCTGAGATATTACCTAATGAAACTGAAAAGGAGAAAAGTGAAGAAGAAAAGCTAAAGGAATATGAAGAATTTATGAAGTCAAAGGCAGCTGAATCAGTTTTACCTGATAGTGCAGCAAAAGATTTAGAAAAGATGGCAGTATCTGACAACAGTCAAGATCAAGTTTTCATGAAATTTAAAGAAAGGATACAAGATGAACAAGAGCAAGTGAGTATTTTCCATGAAAGCAAAATGGTTTATGTAGTCTTATATTAGACATTATGAATAAATTAACAGTAAGAAATCAGCATACATACATATACAAATGTAAATAGCTGTTAGAGCTATCAATTGCAAATCATTCCAAATGTACACATAAATTGTAAGTTACAAATTTATCTCCTATCATAGCATTTAAAAACAATCAGTCGTACTGTAAACCAATTTATTTTCATGGATCCTTATTTTTGTGTTATCCTTTTCCAGCTACTTCACAAAGATTTTTTTAATGATTTTTAAGTTTGTTGATGTATTCATAAGATCATAATTTTGACATATTCACAACCATTTATATTTGTTTTATTTTTATACTTGCAAAGTCACAAAAAATAGTTGCTTTGCAGTACATTTTTTTGTACTAGTTTTCATACAATTGCATGTTCAATTAAAAGCAGATTATTTACCAAGGAAAAAAACAAAAAGTTCTATCTACTTTTATTTTTGATATGTAACTTCTAGGTATCATTCTCATAAAAAAATTAAATTATTATGACACTTAATCCCCTTTTTAGGTCACATAAGCTGTTGCCATTAATTAGTGTCTGTCATTCCCTAAATTCTGTCCATGTGGATGTAATAAATTGGTCAAACTTTTGAAAAGTCTTTTTTATTTTGCTGCCAAAATAAGATGTTTTTTTCTGTTTAAAAATGTTTAATATATAAATCATTGTTCTTCAGGTCTTGAGATACCAGAGAAATGGAAAGCCCTTGTGGGTTTCTGAATGCCATATGCCAAAAGATGGTGATATCCCTAATTGCTCATGTGGTTTACCAAGAACATTTGAGTTTCAGGTGAATTTGCAGATATCAAAAACTTTACTTTCTTAACTTGCATATATAACCTACATAACATTGAAGACAGTTTTGAAAACAGGCAATCCAAAACACAGAAAAAAAATATATACAACTTTACAACATATTCTGTACTAAGTTCTAACTTCAAATAGTTTTATTTGATGCATATATAAAAGTGAACTTGTAAGGTTGCTTGTGTAATTAAGGAGGTAATACATAGTGGGAACCTTGTTGTATTCATAAGCAACTGTTAGGTACTGGGGATTCATTTATTAACGTTGGTACCAAGTTTTGTGGATTGAGGAAAAATTGTAGATCATGGATATTTGATTCCGTGTTTTAACCAAAGGTGTTAAACTCAAAATCCATTAAAATTGGTATCCCACGAATAATAATGAATCCACAGTAAGTCATTTTTGAAACATATACATCCTAAATCTTTTCTTCGGAAGTTAAGTACATTTTTGTAGTTGGTATGAAAGCACTAAAATTATAATCTCTGGATAGCTAATATTATAAAAACTCTTGAAACTTTTATTCTATTTTATTGTACAATTCAGGTTCCTTGGAGCCTCTAGTTAAGATCACAGCATAGTATATTATTGAATACAGACATTGCATTTTTTTTGCCTTTGTATTACATGTTATGACACTTGTTTTGCTTTTGTTTTACATGTTATGACACATTTGTTTAATTGATGTAGATGGTTTGGAATTAATGGTATATTGTGTTTATTTACAGATTATGCCACAGTTGCTGACCTATTTAGAAGTAGACAGTTTAGGAGATAGTATAGACTGGGGAACTCTATGTGTTTATACCTGTTCTGGATCTTGTGAGATTGGAAATAATTATCATAAGGAGTTTTTATGGAAGCAAGATTTTTCAGATTCTAATATTTGATTAAAAATATCTGAGTAGCAGTTTTCTTGTTATTTTGATGCCTATGATGAATGTTACAAAGGTGATACAAATGTCTTTAATCAGCTGAAAATTACATTAAATGGTAATTAATGTATAAAACTTTGTATGATGATTGTATTTCAGAAGGATAACAATGCTTTGTTCATATGTTCCTTATGTTGTGAAGTTTTTGTCTTGCAGGTCACTCAGGCTCAGGCGTCATTGACTTCAAATTTCAATGACAAGACAATTTGCATGACAATTGTATTACTCAACTGGGTATAACAAAACAGCATACCTAAATCCAACAGTCTATATATACTATTAAAGGTACACATGATTGATAAATGTTACATTACCACACGTTCATTTTGTTTGTGGACTGAAAAATATTTGCATCCAGTTATGATGATTATGTCATTATAGTTGTGATTAATAGGTTATATATAGATTTATATATAATATATATATATGTGGTGGTTGTAAGTAGTGCTTGCCAGTTCAACATGAGAAAGCTACTCTTGGCTTCATTTTTATTGTCTAAATGTTTCACATCAAAATGCTTGTTAGGTCGGTCAGTTTTCCAGTAAATGTGAATAACCAAATGGCTTTTTATAAGTTAATGCTGATGATGATGGATGGATGGCTGCTTAATGTCCAGCAACAAATTAATATGCATATAAAAGGACGAGAACATGTAAATGTAATATGAATACCAAATGACTTTTTTTTAGATTCAAGGCACTAGTCTGTATATGTCACCTAATCTAAAACTTATTTCCATCAATAAGTGAGTTATAGTTTGATACTTAGGTCAGTTTAGAAGGAATAACTTTATTTAGGGCATCATTATACATTACAGCAAGCCAACAAGAGCCTCTGAACTTATCAATCCCATTGTCAATGTCATGGTTATAATTGCTTTTACATATGAATTCAAATTGAAAAATCTAATTCAAATGAAGAAAAAAAAACAGTAACAGTATAGGATTTGATGATTTCAAGAAATATGAATACTAGCACTGCAATTCTTCATTTTATTTTCATACATAGTTGAGAAACCTTAAGATCTTTACAAAATGTGTTTCCATTTTTTTGAAATTTCTTAATAATCCAAGGAAATTTGATATGAACTTTTAAAACATAATTCATGCATAAGTACAATTTTGGCAGATTCATTTCTTAAGTGTTACTAAATAAATGAATGATCGATCTTCACTTTCAGATTCTCTGAACAAAGTGAAACTTTAAGGCAGTAAGGCTCCTTTTGAAATGATTTAAAAATAGAGATTTGATGATTTGAAGACAAATTTCAGAATGTTTTTCGCTGATTTTATGTGCTTTCTATACAATGTTCACCTATTTTGAGAGAATTCGATCAGTGATACTTCAGATAATAAAAGAGAGAAATTCATTATTTTTTTGATTGATAGTTATAGTTCAACGAGTCAAAGTTGTATGCAAAATTTTACTAAAATCTGTGACATAGTCCATTTACTGTTACTTGACTTCAAGGTGGTTTACTATGAGGTTGTGGTCACATTAAATTGAAATAAAGGCAGCATAAACTATTTGTATAAAGCTTTATAACTTAGTTCTTGTATCCAGATGTCTTATGTGCTGAAGTCCTTACCTGGCATATATGTCAATTGTCCTTGACCTCATTGTCTTATTGAAGAAAACTTAAGCTCGATCTTTCAATTGGTAAAATATTCATGTCTGTCAGAATTGTTTCACCTTAACTAGACCTAATTTCATGGTAGAGTAGTAATATTAAGTGCTTGTGATAAGATCTGTTCTGATTCTGTAGGTCAATGTCTTTTGTCTATGTAACAATTGTAAAGTGTACATGTTCATCTGTCACAGTTCATTTAACCTTGACCTCATTTTTATAGGACCGCAACAAAATTTGCGGTCGTATATTGGTATCACGTCGTCGTCGTTAGCGTTGTCCCAAGACATTTAAATAAGCATTTTTCTAGTTTCCAGACAATAATTTGTGGAAAGGTGTATGGATCTCTTTGAAATTATATCACAAGTTTCCATACCACAAAGGGATGGCAAGGATTGGCTTTGGGGGGTTATGGCTCAAACCATTTAGGAAAAAGGGGGAAAAACAAGGGTTTCCTGGTTAATGGACAATTACTTAAAAGTACAATGTTATGTTTGGATTACCTCCCTTACACTGCTTTTAAATTATGTCTAAAGAAATGTTGTATTGTCTTTAGCAAATTTAGGTGATTAGCTGTCAATTTTAAGTTTAGAATAAAATTGAGAATGGAAATAGGGGATTTTGTCAAAGAGACAACAAGTTACTATTAAAAATGCTGATTAAGGAATATTAATTTTAGCCATGATTATGTATGTCATTTTCTATTTTAAGACTTTTATGATGCATTTAAAAGTGTAATTATGGTTGCAAACTCCATTGGAAATTTGAATTGAGATTATGACCATATCCTGAGGGAAAGAATGTTTTTTTTGGAAAAAAGGGGGGGAGGTGAAAAAAAAATTGGGGGGATCAATTCGCAACAGCATAGTGTATTGCACAAAAGCAAAAAAAAAAGGGGAGGTAATTTTTTTTTTTGGGGGGGGGGGGATCAATTCGCAACATCATAGTGTAATACACAAAAGCAAAAAATTAAATATAAATTCCAATCATATAACCAATTCTAAGTTCTTTGACTACAGTTATTCTGTGTCAGAAACCTATTATGTGTCAAATATTTAATTACATTCCAAATTCAGACCTGTATCAAGCGCGAATATTGTGTCCATTTTTGCCCCAACTGTTCAGGGTTGGACCTTTGCGGTCGTATCCAGCTGCGCTCGGCGAAGCAATTTATTATTATGGTTTAGCTGTCAATGTTACGTTTTTGTGAATGTGTCATTCTCTCAATTATTGTAATTCCACTAGCGGATTTAGGGGGGTTCGGGAACATCCCCCCCCGCTTGAAAATCTTGAAATATTTTTTGTGAGCAAAAAGCATACAATCACTTAACCATTTCTTTTTTTTTTTATGTTATCTTTATTAAAAATTGAATATTCAGTGAGCACTTAATTGGGTGACACGTTGTCGCTACACTCCGTTAAATACACACATGTCATAATTACATTGGCCTGGGAATAATTAGAGGATCAAAGGATTTAATTTAGACCATCCAAGGCTGCTATCCTATATTTTATTACTTTGTTGGTTTAATAATTAAAACAACGTTTTTTGGTTTTCTGATAGCTTGATTTGAAGAAAAATACTTTCTCACTCTATAATATCCACAAGATTTTTTTTATTATTTTTTTTTAAATTCTGATACTGCTGCGACACCTGCTGAATCTAATTATATTGCAAACTTTATTTCCACATCTGTACCTAGTGTTGATATGTATAGCAACCATGACAAGCGAGAGACTCAATGGCCTTGCTTTAATGCATATTCATATCAGCACGGAAATTGTCAAAAGTGCAGTGATCGATCAGTATGCTATAACATCAGGATGAAATTATCAACAATAGCCTTTTTAGGATAACTTTGTACATTCAATGTTTGCCAATTTTCATTTATTGAAGTATTTTTATCTGGAATTGAATCATTAAACTAATCTAAAAATTCAATTTTCGGTAACCATGCATATGACGGATGAACAAAAAGTGTGCCAACTATTGAAAACATAAGGTTTGGTTAACAATTAATAAAACAGAGAGAACAAAATGTGCTTCTCAACTCTTTTATTTGAATAATATTTGAAATTTACGTTGTCTAAAGAATATTCATAAAGATGCACATGTCTGCTTGGCAGTGTTTGTGTGACCTTGACCTCGTTTTCATAGTTTCATGATGAAAGCTGGGCTTTCCGGAAAAAGGTATTATTTTTTTGCAAGTAATATTAGTACTAGGTCGGCTTAGTTTAATCTATAAGGTCCTTATAAGCTCAGTTTCACAAGTACCGTAAAGACGTAGATCAACTATAAAAAAAAAAGAGGCGAAAAATACCAAAGGGATATTCAAACTCAATCTAAAGAATTATTGTAAGGTGTGCAGGTCCATATATACCAAGGTTTGAAAGAAGGTCAGGTTCTTCTTCTTTGGTTGAAATTTCAATGGAACATTAGTTATATGATTGTCCGAAAACTTACTTTGTATCATTGATGTATGCTTGTTGATCGGTTTTCCACGTTCTCTATGCCCAACTCCTTTATACTGGGGTAGTTTTCAGAGTACAATGTTTACACAAGTGCTATTATTTTGAATCTTGTCAGTATATTTACATGTGTGTGGGAACATTTAGGTCTGAAAAAAGATGTTCACGGACCGTTTACGTTTTTAATTCTACATGTAGTTGGTAGTGGTAATTACAACATATAGAATGTAAACCAGTAATTTACATTTTAAACCAATACACTGTGAAAAAAGTGATGCTAATAGCATAATTTTAGAAAAGGTACAAACTTGAAAACTTTTTTTAAATGCTTGAGAGCTGATGATGCATTTGAATAGCGACCCCTCTTTGTCAACAAAATTTTTAAGTCATAGCGTTCAAATCTTTACAAAAATTACAGTGAAACAATAAAAAATGTGTATACTTTACGGTTGTAACAACATTATGTCGTATTTCTGAACATATCAAATTATAAATGCTTAAAAGTTGCCCATTAAAATTGCAATTTTGACAAATTATGAGTATTTTTTATTCAAAATGATTAAGCAGGACATTTTTAACCAAAACAACATACTGTCGGAAGTAAATTTAATAATGTAATATAAATTGCATTTTTCTTTTGATGTTTTAATGAAATAATTTGCTTAAAAAGAGTGTTGATGGAAAACCATGGTCTATTATCTTCAATTTGATGTTGTACCATACTTTGATAACTAAACACGAACCCAACTAGAATCTTAAAGGAAAGTAGGCGGAGCTTAGCTATGGTACAACATGTTTATTTTGATGTTATTCTATGGCTGAAGCTCCACCTCATTTTCTGAAATATATCCGCCTTTCAACTATTTAGGAAACTAA